CAGGCGGCGGCGGCTACGGCGGAGGCTCCTCAGTGTCCGGCTCTGGCTCCGGCTGCGGCCCCAGCCCGCGATGCCCCATTCCGTGACCCTGCGCGGCCCTTCGCCCTGGGGCTTCCGCCTGGTGGGCGGCCGAGACTTCAGCGCGCCCCTCACCATCTCTCGGGTGAGTCCGACAGCCGCGGGGCGCCACGGAGGTCCTAAATCAGAGACCCAGTCCTCCCGGTCCACCCGGGACGGGATCCCCGACGTCCCTAAGGCTGGAAGGGCAAGGGTTGGCCTGGGGTGACCCGAAAGCTGTAGAGGAGATTTCTAGCCAGGACCCTGCCGCCTCATACCCACTCCCCTCTTGTGCTGGGCCTGCCTGCCTTATTCTGTGGTGGATCCCCCAGGAGTTCACACAGCAGCAACCCTGCCGGCCTCACTTGTGGGGAGGGCTAGTGGTCTGAACATATTTATAGAGACCCAGAAATGCCTGAAACCAGCCCGAAGCTGTGGGACAAAATGACTGAGAAAAGCTTTTCCTATCAAGGGTGCCAGTCCAGGCAGGTCTGGGGTCCCCACTGAATCCCAAAAGAGATTTTGGATCTCTGGGTTTTGGGCAGTCTGTTGTTATGAACTCAGCCATCCAAAGGGGAAGTGACCCAGAGGAGCTTTTTGTTTCCAGGGTTAGGAGAGACTTGGCTATGAAGTTGTGAGACCCCTCCCCACCAGACAACATGAGCCCAGGGGCTAGGATGACCCCAGCACAATTTCTCAAGGTTCTCAAGGTCCTATTTTCATTTTCTTATACACTGCCCTTAGGACAGAGGAAGAAGCGAAAGGTCACAACCCTGGTGGAGTAGCTAATCTGGGAAGGATAGAGGAACAGAGGACTCGCACCCTACCAGCAGGGGTGCCCAGTCTGGCGGAGACAGAATCCTGCCCCAGCTTGGGATCCCATAGTTGAGGGAATTCAGACCCTGCCCCTAGGAGTCCAAGCCTAGGAGACAGAAAAGGAGAGAACAGAGAAAAGGAGTGTCCTTAGGGACTCCCATCTGGAGGGACTAGAAGAGAGGACCGGCCATCTGAGACCATCCCTTTCCCCTACCCAGGCTGCTCTGGTTGTGGGGAGTCTGTGTCAGGTAACTGAGAACCACCTTCCCCCACTGTACAGCCACCTCTCACCACTGTGAGATGTGCCAAGCCAAGGCTTCAGCCTTCTTTCCAGTTCTTCAGAGGGGGTGGGCTCCCAGTGGAGTGTGGACTCACAGAATCCATTTCTGGGGGCCAGGGTGACAGGCAGGCCCAGCTGTCTTGGGAGGCTGCCCTCATCCGCTCTTACCCATGGCTACCAGGTCCCCAGGGCAGAGTGAGGTGGGCCTTCCACACACAGCGGGGGAGGGGGGTGAGGAGGGGTGGGGGGGAGGCTTTCATCTCCCACTTCCCTAAGGGAGTCCTGCTGGGTGCTTGCATTTGTGAGTGTCTGTGTGTGTGTGTGTTGTTTGTGTGTCCAAGTCTGCTGAGGCCAGCTGCTGGGGGCGCTGGGCTGGCCAGTGGACCAGGCACCCTGGGCGTGAGGCCGCTGACAGGCTCAGTGGCAGCGGCTGACGGCCGCAGGCGGCAGAGAGCAGAGACATCTGTTGTCCACGCGGCCGCCTGCCTGCCGAGGAAAGGCCTCCACACGTCACAGCAGCAGCGGCAACAGCAACAGCAGCAGCAGCGGCCGCCACCGCCGCCTTGTTTAGAGCTGATCAGGATACAGGCCCCTGGTAGGCAGTCAGGAGGGGGGAGAATTTGCCAGGAAGAACCCCCTTGTCCCCCAAAGTCAGGCAGCAGCAGCCAGGCCCCAGGAGCCAGGATGGCTGAGCCTGGGTTTGGGTGGGATCTGGGGAGATTTACAAGGCTGGGGAGGCACAGGCCATGGCTTGCCCAGCAGGTACCTCAGGGGTAGGTCTGCAGACATTGATAATAGGGTGGGAGTGTTTGCAATAAGGGGGCTTAAGCCCTACTCCTCCCAAGCTTCCCTGGTGGTCTTCACCCAGTGGGACAATCACATAGACAGGGAAGCTGGCTACCTGGTGGGGATGGTGCCTCGCAACCTCAGCTCACAAAACTTCAGGGAACCCCCAAGAACATTAACCCAGGCTGGTCTTGCTGAATATCTACATCATGCCAGGCCCCTCCCAAGTGGGTTTTGGTACCAGTCTCCAGCAATTGGTGCCTGGAATGAGCACTATAATATCCTGGGCCCTACAAAGGCTTGTGCCCTGATTCTCAGGTAGTCCTCACAGCAGTCCTTACAAGTAAGGCCTCTTTCTGATCTCACAGTATAGATGGAGACACTGAGGCTCACAGAGGTTAAGTTAATGTATCCAAAGAAGCAGGGCAGGGTCAGGAGTCTAGGCCTGTCTGGGTTGCTGTGACTATATAGGATGACTGGGAACTGGATTCTGACTGTGACTCCCAGCACCCCTCTCCTCCCCAACCCTCTACCCCCGGCCCCCAAGTGTCTAGGCTGGGCAGCTTGGAGCAAAGGCTGGGGAGTGTAGCTGCTACAGGTGTGGGTCTGGCTCATGCCTGAGCCACCCAGCTGACCCCGCCACTCCCCTCTGTCTCCTTTCTGTCTGTTTATCCTGTACTTGAGCCAGAGGGATCGGCCTGAATTCAGCTCTGTCCTGTGATTTCCCCACTTCTCTCTCGTGGTTCCCAAGCACCCAGCAGAAACACCAGTTTCTTGCCTGGGCCTGTGTGGCTGGAAAGGCCTGGTCCCTCCTTCCTCTCTGGCTTATCTCTTTCACTTTCTTATCACTAATGATGCTTTGACCATAAGAGCCTCCTTTCACTCTTCCCCAGATGAGCCATTGTACCCCCTGATCCTTCAACCTGAGAAACTCTCCCTTCACCTCCTTTTTTGCAGAAAAGCACTGCTGTTAAGAGCACAGAACTTGAAACCAGTTGGCCTGGGCTGAAATCTGAATTGTGCCATTTATCAATTCGGCATCTCTGGACCTCAGTTTTCTCATCTCGGAAATGGGCCTGCCTCAAGGATTAGTGAAACAATGCATATAAAGGCAGCTGGGAGAGTCACGCTTTCCTGGCCCGGTGCCCGCTCTGACCAGAATTCCCCGAGCTGGAGGAGCTGGCAGAGTCCCAGCCACCCCTGCTTTCGAGAACTTCCTCCACCCACAGGGCCCTGAATGCACCCCTTGTGTGGACTGAGTCATCCCACAGCTAGCCGTCCCCCCAAGGAATAAGGGCTCCTCTCCAATGTGGCAAATGGTGCAAGGTACCACTTCCCACAAACCTCTCTTTCTTCCTTTGTAAATAGGAGTGAGGACAGCCACTGTCCTCACTGGGTGGTGGAGTGCTTGCCATGAGCTAGGCTGAGTCCAGGCCCTGTCACAGAGCAGGCAGCATGAAGGAGGGGGGCCTGAAGCAAGATCTGTGGACGGGTTGGGATGGTAACGACGGGGTGTCTCTCCTGGGAAAACAGGCCGATGCAGGTGTCCAGACCCCGCGAGTGAATGTCCGTGGCGGGCTGGTTAGCGGAGGGGATCGTGGTCCAAGGGAACATTTCTTGGTGCAGCTTATTTCAGGGCAGGTCAGCTCGGGTAGTGCCACACAGGCCTCCAGCCAAAAAGCTGCCAGTTCCTCGGCTTTGTCTACTGTGACTTGCAACTGTGAGGCTGGGGCTGAGCCTGGCAGCCTTCTGGAGTTTCCCCTTCTGCCAACAGAGCAGGGTTACTGCTCTTGAGCCACATTTGTGTACCGCTAGAGGCTGGTAAGAGTGAGGATGCCTGAAGTCTATTTCCTGTGGGTGCCAGGAGCAGGGTACCCTGTTTTCTGAAATCCCCTGGCCTGTTGACTCACACATCTCTGAGAGCCTTTCCCTAACCAGCATTGTAAGAGGCTCCAGATGTGGCTGTCACTTGACTCTCGGGAGTCAGTAGTAGCTCTGGGGTGGCCTGGGAGCCTGTCCTGCAGAGAAAATGGTGGGGGGTGGGGGGAATACTGTAAACTAGAAGTATAGCAGCTGAAAGTAGTGACCCTGGACTTGCCTGCGAGATGATGCCACAGACCTTGAATAAGCTAACCGCAATGCTAGGGGAACAGAGGTGATAATGGAGAGAGGGCTGTCAGGCCTGGAGGAGAGGTTCCCGGGGGAAATGGTCTCTGTGCTGAGACCTGAAGCTGGCATTAGGACCTGGGATCAAAGGAAAGAGTGTTCCAGGTAGAGGGAGCAACATCTGCAGAAGCGTGGAGGTGACATCTCAGCTGGTCCAAACAAAGAGTAGCTGTATGGCGGTGAATATGGAGGGTGTTAATGAGAGAAAACAGGTAGGGAGACAAGATTAAGAGTTTGACGTCAGGTCAAGGAGCTGCTATGCAGTCTGGCTGGGTGGGGGCAGTGTTGATGCAGTTTTTTGTGCCTTGTCTATGTTTTACACATGCAGACTGCAAAAGTGACATCCCACTTGTTCCAGCACAGAGGGAGCCCTCTCAGACCCACCAGGCCTCCAGTGCTAAAGTTGAGAGTGTTTGGGGCAGAGACGACAGCCAGGCCACATGGAACACAACCTCCTGGCTTTCCCACCACAGGTCACGGGGACAGCAGGACACATCAGCCTGGTTCTGAGTGTGAAGAGAGTGTAGAGCACAGCCTGTAAAGGCCTCAGAAGGACTGTGCTCAGCCACCTGGCGTGTCCCCCACAGGTCCATGCTGGCAGCAAGGCTGCGCAGGCCGCCCTATGCCCCGGAGACCTGATCCAGGCCATCAATGGGGAGAGCACAGAGCTCATGACGCATCTGGAGGCTCAGAATCGCATCAAGGGCTGTCACGACCATCTCACACTCTCTGTGAGCAGGTATGCATAGGGCAGACTGGGCCAGGGTGATGGGGTGGGGAAGTTTAAAGGGAAGATACATTTTGGGTAGCCAGCATCCTGTGTGAACCGGACCCCACTCAACCTCAGCTCTCTGGCATCCCTGTCCTAAGGATCAGTGATTTTTTTTTCCTAGTAAGTACTTTTTAGAGCTAGGGATGACTTAAGAAGGGAAGAAGCCCCTTTTTGCCTCAGGGCTGAAGGGTATTGGGGTACTTACCCAAAATCAGGTCTGAGTTAAGATCAGGGGTAGCCTTGGGGCTGATTTCAATCCTTTCCTCACCCGAGTGACCTGTTTGATGATCATTTCAAAGCAGTTTCTTGTCCAACACCTTATTTAACTCTCAAGCCAACTAATAATGTAAAAACTAACATAGTCCCTACTTTATAGGGGAGCTGACCAAGACTCAGAAAGTTTAGAGGGGCTTAAAGACACAGCGTGAGGGCACAGGAAGCAACACTGGACTTCAGCTCTCTCTCACTCTCACATGCTCCACCCCTTTCCCTGGCTGCTGACCACTGCGTCCAGCCACACTGCTGCCCTGTATCAGCTGACTCTGCTCTGACCTGTACCCCTGCCCTACACAGAGTCTAGGATGGAAGGTCCATCTGGGGCAGGACCCAGCCTTGCTCAAGCCCTAGGCCTCTAGGTCTCTGTTCAGTCCTGACGACAGTCAGGCCCTAAGTGCATGGGGTGTCTGTGCTCCTGATCCTGCCTGGATGCCAAGAAGTCAGACAAAACTGCCCAGCTCTGCCATTTTCACTGTTAACAGGGACTTTCTACAAGCCCCTGTAGCCATATATGGGCAAATTCTCTCCAAACCACACTGCTAACCTAGGCCTGAGAGCCAGCAGGGCGGGGAGTGAACCATTGGCTTGGGGCCATTAAACATGGTGGGAAATTTTCTTAAGTTGCTCCCATGTGTGCCTGGCCCAGACACAGGTTGGAGTTGGGCTCCCTGTCTACACTCCAGATGCTGAGTGGGCCCAGCTACAAGTTCTAACACCTCAAACACTCCACCTGTCACACAGTGAGGAGGCCCTGGCTTAGGAGGTCAGCAGAGCTGGTCCTCGTCCAGACTCTGTGGGATGACCTCTGAGCCTGGGTTTCCTTCCCCATAAAGTAGGGCGCCAGTCACCCAATCCCAAACTGAGATACAGGTTGGATGGGAAATGTCAGCACTCACTGCCTGCAAGTGCCTCTGACACTGCCCCAATTGGCTGGGTTCCTGGACCCTGACTCACCTCCGGCTTTGACTCTGTGGCTGAACAAGGGCAGCCCTGATGGTGGTGGTGGGGTGGGGGGCTCATAGGAGGTCTGAGTAAGGAGGTTCCCAGAGGGAGTGATGTCAGGGGAGGGTGCTGGGAGCAGGGTGGAGATCACCATTCCTTCCTTCCTTCCTCCCTTCCTTCATTCCCTTCTCATTTGTTCCAAGCCAGGACTAGATGGGGCCAGGAGTCCACCGACTTGTTCCTCTCTGGAGGTTCAGGCTCCACCTGAGCGTGGAGTAGGTTAGAGCACATTCTCTAATATCACAGATCTGGATTCCAGTCTCAGATCTGCACTTGAGAGCTGCCTTTTATCCTTAACTTCCTCAACTCCAAAATGGAGATTGTCTTGCAATCTAGGGATGGAGTGAAATGATGAATCAGGTCTTCCCGGACCGGATGGAAATTCAAGGTTCTATTCTCTAGCTTCCTATCCCCAATACTCACACATGCACATTCCAAGGGGTCAAGATAAGGGGGGCCTCCCAGGTGGTGCTCTGGGTTATAGCACAGCACTATGAAGCTATCTGCAGCCACTGCGGCACAAGTTTGATCCTCCGGCCAGGGAGCTGACCCACATGGCATGGCAGACCTCTCCTGTCTTACCTGCTGCTCCCCTCAGCAAAATATTTCAGTCCAATCTGCCTGTTCTGCTCCCCACTCTGTCATGGTGAATCCTCTCATCGCTCCCCCACCCCCCGGCCCCTCTGAGCTGTACCCCAGTTCTTATATGCATAAATAAATAAATCTTTAAAAAAAGATATAGAGATGACCTTGACCCCCATGTGCTGGCATTTCTTCTCCTGAGATAATTCTCATCTGCAAGGTGAGACCCCACTGTCTATCCTGCCTACTTTACTAGGATCTATTCCTGGTTCCAAAGACACCCCTCCATTTCTCTCAGTCTCCCCTCCCTACCAGATTCTTTGGAGGATCAGGCTGCTGAGCTCACAGGAGGGAGATGCTGTGTCCACACCCCCAGAGCTGCACCTGGACTGGCTTCCCAAGCCATTCTGTGGCTTCTCCATAGAACAAGAAATCTTCATTGTGTCTAGAATTCATAGCCGGGTATCCAACTATCCAAGTTAGCCCACACTTCCTGGTCATAGAACATGGCCATCCAGGACCTTCCTGGTCAGCTCCAACCCTGGCTCTCTGTAGGGTCCCTGTCACCAGATGCATTTTTCACAGGCCATGCTTTTGCTGGGATTTTGTTTAAAGATGGTGCCACCCGCCCAGCCTGAGGTGGAGACTGACACATGAGTAAGCCCTTCTTGCCAATCTGATGCCTTGGGTCACCCTCATGACCCTGGCCCTTAAACCACAGACTTGTACTTCTCTTTTGGGTACAACTTCGGGGAAGTATAAGAACAAATAGCCATGCGAGATGTCCTACAGAGTTCTGGGTGGTGGAGGCCACAATTAGAGTGGCCTTAGGACTATCACTTGGGAACCAGGTTGAGTGAGCTGAAGCCAGAGCCCAGTGGGGGTGATGTTGACCCTGGATAGCCAAGGTTTGGTGCCATAGGCATCCCAAAAGTAGTGAAGGAGAGGTTACCTGCAGGGATGGACAAAGGTGAGGAAGTGCAGAACAAGTGTGGACTGTAGGTAGAAATAGCAGTAAAAAACCCTTGGCTGAATCAGCAGGATGGGACTGCTGGCCTAGAGGTAAGGCCTCAAAAAGACCCAGGAGGTCTTTTGGGGTAAATTGGGACACCAGTCCCCTTTGAGCTAATCAGTCTCACTTTAAATTCACCCGCCAGTCTAGGGTCCATGCCCTCTGCTGGTGTTCCTCCTCACAGGGCTTCAGAGGGGCAGGACTGGGCTCTGGGCCTGTAACCTCTGGGCCCTGCCTGCCCTGCTTATGGCAGGTTTATGATGTTTTTCTCCCTCTTGAGTGGTGTTTAGCTTTTGGTTTCTATGGCGAAGCAGGAATTTCCTAATGGCCTGTTTCCCATCTGGGCTGGGCAGACACTGGTGATGACTCTGCCGGCAGCCACAGGAGGGGAGGCGCACCCCCTCCGAGCCTTCATTCCACCTCCCCAGAGCCCATGAATGCCTGACCCCCAGGCCTGGCCAGACGGAATGGATGGGCTTCTAACTGATCAGTGTGTGAGGCCTAGCTCCCCCTGCTCTCAGCTGGGCCTCTCTCTGCTGAGCTTCCCCCTAGAAGACAGAAGGATGGGGAAGTGGCTGGGCTTCTGATGTTGCCTCTCTAGGAACCAGAGGAGAGAGATAGAGCCGCTGGCGGGGGAGAGACACGTTGTCCCATTCTGAAGGGTGGCAGATCAAGAGCTGTGTCTTCTTGTTACAGCAGCCACCAAAGGAAAGCACAGGGGTGAGGTCTTCCTGCAGGGTGCCAGGCCTGATTCTGGGAGGCTCAGTGCCCAGACCCCAGCTTTTCTTGGTCTTGACCTGGTTCCTGGGGCATAGTAAGCACACATCTGACCATCCTAAATTCCTGCCACAGACCTGAGGTCAAGAGCTGGCCCAGTGCCCTGGAGGACAGCAAGGCGCAGGCACACAGGATCCACATCGACCCTGATGTCCAGGTATGTATAGACACTGCCTGACTCAAAGTGAGCCCAGGGCAGAAGGCTGGGCCTGGTCTACAGGTTCACCTCATGATGGTGCTCAGATGTCAAGCTAGAGACTTCTCTGGGCCATGCCCGTGCCACACCTGTATTCGCCTCGTGATGGGCACCTGCTGGGGGCTCTGCCTATATTCCAGGTAGTTCTGGACCTGAGACAAAGATGGAGGGCAGAGATAAGGCTAGGCCTCACCTCAGTTACCATTTACCCACTGGAGGTTCACTTTGGTGCCAAACCAGAAAGAAGTCAGCAGTTTGAGGGTGACTATTCACAGGCTTGGGGTAATCTTCTAGCTCACCCTAGCCTTCGGTGTCCACATGACCTGAGTCATCTTCAAGCCTCAGGGCTAACTGAGAACATCAAGCACTTCCTTGGCCTGTCCAAAACCTTAATTTGCCCCTGGCCGTCCTGAGATTGCACCAAGCAAACCCCAGGCTGTATGTGTGTCTGCTCCAGTACCTATCCAGGTGACAGGAGTTAACAGCTGTGGTGCTGTCCTCAGGTACATGAAGGGAGACAAGCTGCTCTTTTTTTTGGACTTGAAAGGCGGCTAGGATATGGGGACTGAGTTAGCCAGAGCCTGCTTGACATCTCTGCACCACAGGGTTTGGGCAAGGTAGATGCTGGACTCAGGCATGATGGAGTCAGAACCACGGGCCCAGCATGTGGGGCCATGGCCTCCGGGTTCTGTTCATGTCTCCTGTCTCATTATGGAGGAAGAGTGACCAGGGCAGGGAGAGGAGACTTCCCAAGACGAGAGAAAAGGCTCTTCCATGGCTTCTCCCTCACCTTCTACCCAGTCCCTATCTGGCTGTGATGTGTGTTCACTGTCTTGCCTTTGCTGGCACTCCTGAGACAAGATGCTGACCACATGACAGCAAGTGCCCATTCTGGAAGGGGGCAAGACAGTTCTGGGATGTTGGAAGCCAGGGGCTAGAGTAGTAATCCAGAGCAGGCACATGACTCAGCTGAGAAGTCAGAGAAGACTTCCTACAGGAGGGGGTATCCAAGTCCAGACCCCAAAGCCTGGGAAGAACAAGGCGGTGAGAGGTACATGGAAAAAGTGTACCAAGAAGCACTCACAAAGACCTAGTTCAGAGAACGGACTAGTTTCTGGGTGGGATGGTAGAGGTGAGGGGTGGGGTGATGCTCGGGGCCTCAGAAAGGCTTTCCAGTTCTACCCAGGAGTCAGCTGTTCCTGTAGAGATTCATGGCCACATCGATGTCACCAAGGCTTGCACTGATAATTCCATGGACCCTTCCCTGGTATAGAGCCAAATTGGCCAGCCTTGATATGAACTAGGCAGGCCCACTGGTCATGTGTGAGTGCAAGGCTGGGTAGGCGAAGGGACCTGGGCTTTGGAATCTGAAGCTCAGTTCTGTTAAGACCTCCAGGTGAGGTTCAGGGTCAGTGAGCCTGGGAGACTGGGGATGAGAACAGCTCTCCCTACCCCCAACACTTTTCTTCACTGACCTCCTCAAAGATTAGGCTGCCAGTGGCTGGGGCTGGCGGTGGAGGCATTTTCCACAAAGAACAGGGCAGCCCCTCAGCTGCTGTACTTAAAAGGTCATGAGCTCCACGAGTGGTGACAGAAATACCCCCACCCAACCCCCCCAGGGCCGTGGCGTGTCCTGGGTAACACAGACACAGGGCCCATTGTCCCTACACTCCCAGCCTCTGCCTGCAAGCGGGTGGGGGATGGACCCAGCTGAAGTCATCAGAGGAGGAGAAAACCACAGTTGGCCCTGAGACCAGCGCAGGGTACCCTGGAAGGCAAGTGGCAGGGGCTTCAGGCCCAGTTGGGTTATAGGGGACCCCCCTCTCAGGCCTGACTTGGGAATACAGGAGGTGCTTGGCCCAGCCCAGCACCCCTCATGTACTCAGCCTGTGCTCCCCAGACCAACAGATAGCTAGAGTTTGGCCTCTGGAAGGTGACATCTGTTCATCTGGGCTCAGTGCTCATCGCCATCCAAGTTCTGTGTTCAGATTCTAACCACAGTCCCTCAGGGGCTGATGAGCGAGCAGACATCATGCCCATTCTGCTGACTAACCTACTGAGGCTTCAGCAACCATACTGGCCACTGGCGGGCTCTCCGAGAGGCAGAACCCATGACATGAGATAAAACACCACGGGGAAGGGAAATCCAGGAATGGGGAAGCTAGGGGAAGCCAGGCTGTTGTGGAAACAACAGCCATTCATCCAATGAGCATTTGCTGTGTGCTAGGCACTATGCTAAGTGCTTTGATGCAGCTGTCTCATTTCATCCCCACGAAGACCTTATAGAGACTGTCACATTTCCCCATTTCATGGATGAAAAGACAGGTTCAGGTAGAGGTGACATGCCCAGTTTGTAGGTAATGGAGCCAGGCCTTAAACCAAGGCTGAGGTCACCACCTGTGTCCTCAGCAGTGAATTCGGACCTGGAGAGGCCCCAGTATGGGTGGCTGTGGCTGTGGGAGGGGGGGAGCGGGGGGCTGTGGATGTGATGACTCTGCAGTGGACGTCCAGACCCTGCTGAGTGGGGGTGAGTGCGAGCCTCCTTCTTCTAGGTCCTTCTGACTCCCCTTTCCTATGGAAGCCTCCTCTGCCATGAGCCCAGCCCTGCCCCCACGGCTCACAGCCCATCTGGTCCCCATTAGAGGCCAGGCCAGCCTTGCCTGCCTGCCCCACAGACACATGTGTGAGAGGGCTCGGGTTTCTCGGGGGGTTTGTTGGGCCCAGTGGGATGAGGTCTTTCCTGCTGCTGCTGCTGCTGCTGCTGCTGCCGCCGCCGCTGCCTCTGCCACCACCACTACTTCTTAGAGGAGGCCCACCTGGGTAGAAAAGATCTTTTCCTATGTTGGGGTCAAGAAGTAAACCCCCAACACCCCCACCCATCACTGGTCTGCCCATTCCTCAAGCCCCCACCCTGCTCAGAGCTTGCAGGAAACGGGTACTCAGGGCAAAGCCCTTCAGGTTCAACTAAGCCCGAGGCTGCCTAGGTCCAAGTCAGGGTCTTCCCCCCAGGGGAGGGATCCTTTCCACCCCACCGTGGATCCCTGTCCACCCTACAGCAGAGGGGACATTTGTATTCACCTGCCAGGCTGAGGCTGAGAAGTACCTTCATGGCTGGACCTTGGCGTCCCCCTGAAATCAGGCTGCTCAGACCACCCTGTCCTAGCCTTATCTCAGCCATGAGGCCATCACGGCCACCCCCAAGTGACTGGACCTGTCCCCAAGTGACTGGACCTGTACTGGCTCCAGTACTTGTAGCCATGTGTGTGTGGTTAGGTGTGCGTAGCCAGACAGCTGGCACCTGCATGCTGTCTTCATGCATGTTCGTATCTGTTAACATACTTGTGAGAATGTGTGTGCCTGTGTTAACACTGCCGTGGACATGCCTGTGCGCCTGAAAGCTAGGGACCATGTGGCCTGGGTTCTGCAAGGACAAATATCCCCAGTCCCTCGTTGGAGCCACACTCACAGAGCTGCTGCCCTTCTCGTGGGCTGAGGAAGTGTGTCCAGGGCACTCCTCCCCCAAATGTGTCAGCCCAGGGGCACCAGGCTGGTGCACGTAGTAGGGTGGGGAGCTCAAGCCTTGGCCTGGCCTCGTCCCCACTGAAGGCCACCCATTTTAGCCTGGGAAGCAGGAAACAGGAAGAAGGTGCAGACCTGGAATGGACCAGACTCACAATGGCACCCTGAACCTCACCCTGCCCCCACCACAGGGCCTTGGGAACACAATGATTAGTGACCTTCCCTGGCTACAGGACAGGAGTTCTGCCACAGGACAGGAGTTCTGCCACAGCACAGTTCTGGCAGGTGGGATGACGAGAAGCATGTCTACAAAGAAGTCACATTGTCTGCTGGCCTTAACGGGCTTCTGGGCGTGGTCCTGCCCTTACACCATCTCTCATAAACACTATACACTATGGGGCCCATGAGCCAAGGTGGTGTCAAGTGCTCAGGTTTTTGTTTTGACTTTCTGTGGCCATTTCTCATTTCTGCTGGGGGAAACCAGTCCCGAGATGTTATAGCCCAGAGGTGTCAGAGCAAGGGTAACCAGCCAACATCCAAGAAGGCTCGGCATAGTGGGGTGGGTATTAAGTAATGGGGATGAGGCCTACTAAAGAGGGGCTCCCAGTGTCTTAGGCCCCCCTTTCTCTTCTAGGATGGTAGTCCAGCAACCAGCCGGCGGTCCTCAGCCACTGGGCTGGCATCTGAAGATTGCAGGCTAGGCCTGGGCTCTCCTTATGGGCAGCCACCTCGTCTCCCAGTCCCTCACAATGGCAGCAGCAGTGAAGCTACCCTGCTGGCCCAGATGAACAGCCTGCACGTGTCTCCAAGCCACAGGTATGACAGACATGCTTGCAGTCAAGCCCAGATCCCATTTCAGTCCTCAGGTCCTTCTCACATGAGAACCTTGGTTCTTAGCTGGTGGCATTCTGACCCATGAAACCTTACCTGATTACCTGACCCCTGAGCTGGCTTCGTGAAGCCTGGTACTGCAACTCTGTCCCTCCTGCATCTCTTCTGCCCAGCGCTGACCCAACTAGGGGCCTCCCGCGGAGCCGAGACTGTGGAATTGACCTGGGCTCAGAGGTGTACAGGATGCTACGAGAGCCAACAGAGCCCACGGCTGCAGAGCCCAAGCAGTCAGGCTCCTTCCGCTACTTACAAGGCATGCTAGAAGCCGGCGAGGGGGGTAAGACTCCTGCACCTTGCTCCACCTGCCTTCCCGCTCCCTCCAGTGCTGGGAACCACCCCCAGCCATGCCCCTTGGGTCGCCAGGCCCTACCTACCTCCCAGCCATCCACAGCTCTCTGGCTCTTCTTTGCCTCCCCACATCCCTAACTGCACCTGTGCCTTGTGTCTTTGGCCTCCTCTGCCTGGTCCCTAGCCCTGGCGAGCTGCAAACCCCCTGGCATCTGCTGGTGTGCCAGAAGTAGGACCCAGGCACACATGCCACATAAGTGCACTGATGCCCTTTTCTGACTACCCACGCTCTGCCTTTCAGGAGATCGACCTGGGCCTGGCGGCCCCCGAAACCTCAAGCCCACAGCGAACAAGCTGGGTGCTCCGCTAAGTGGGCTCCAGGGACTGCCTGAGTGCACCCGCTGTGGTCACGGTATTGTGTAAGTACCAGCCCCCACCTTCCCCAAACTACCCCAGGTCTCTCCTCGCCCTGCTGGAGGCCCTGGATGGAGGTGTGCTGTGAATCATCCCATCCCCTGACATGTCTCCCACCCACCCCGTTCAGCGGCACCATCGTCAAGGCTCGGGACAAGCTCTACCACCCAGAGTGCTTCATGTGCAGCGACTGTGGCCTGAACCTCAAGCAGCGAGGTTACTTCTTTCTGGACGAGCGGCTCTACTGTGAGAACCATGCCAAGGCACGCGTGAAGCCGCCAGAGGGCTACGATGTGGTGGCGGTGTACCCCAATGCCAAGGTGGAACTCGTCTGAGCCACTCCTCTAATGTCCAGTCTTTGCCTCTGCTTCTTTTAATGCCCCTGTGTACCCCCATGTAAATATGTGTTCACCCCCCCCCACGTCTCTAATAAACGCCCTCTGGTGGACCCCCAACATGTCGGTGCCTTCCCTGGCCCCCCTTCAGCGCTGGCCGTGGCTCCTGAGTACTACATCTCCTCCATTGCCCAGTGTGTCCAGGGCATGGGGTACCCTGGGGATGGGGACATGGAAGACCAGCCTGGGGTACGGTGGGCATGAGTCACAGGGGCCATTCCATTAACACAGAATGGAGCTCTGGGGTTCTGTCAGGTGACATCTCACCAAGGGGACTTACCTGGGTAGACAGGAAGGTGTCTGCTGAGAAGTATGGGTTGAGGAGGGGAGCGGTCACTCAGTGAGGGAGTGCTCTTGCAATGGTATGGCAAAGCTGAGCACAGACTGGAAAACCCGTCTCCAGCGGAAGCCAGCAGGGGAGGCCTTAGCAGACATGGGAGGGATTGACCTACTGGTGGGGGGCTATGAAGGGGTGAAGGTCTCGGAGGCTACCCTGGCGGCGTTTGCCTCCTGGAGGCATTTCACTTGAGTTTCTCCGGCCTTCCTCCACCTCTCCAGCCCTTTTATTCTTAGCAACCCCATTGCTCCCTTTCCCAGTCTTCTCACCAGGGGGCGCACTGTATTTGAGAGCCTGAGGAGACAGGTGGAGGGCGTGAGTATGTGTGTATGAGAGAGAAGCATGTTTAAAAAATGTTTGTTCTGTCTGTCACAAACTGCAAAAAAACTATCAAATCATACTCAGACAAGTGTGTGGCTGTTGATTCCTTAAGCTCTTGCTAGCACAGGGTGTTATCTACTTTATTGTTTTTTCATTTTTGCAAATGGAGTAAGTAAACCACCCACTGTATGTAGTTACATTAGTTTGCATTTCTCTGGTTACCAGTGAGGAGCAGGCACTCAGCATTGTTGTTTGCTTGTGGGAACTCAGCAAACAAGGAACCAAAAGGTCTTCTCCCTCCAAAACTTCTTCCTGTGTGACTTGCCCAAAGCCCTTCACTCGTTTTTTCTAAGGTTTATTTAACTCTAATTACAAAGTCGGCGGTTTTCATATTTTTGTGAGGGTCTTTGTTACTAGCCTCTATTTCAACTGCTCTATTTTCCTATTCCTGTGACATCACACTGACTTAATCACCCCCATTTTAGTGTTAATATTCCAGTATCTCCTTCTTGTTCTGCCTTCACCAACATGTCAAAGTTGTTGTACATTTCCAATTGTCAGAGGTTTTGATTTAGTATGTCAGGCTCTGGGGATACAAACAAACTTCTTCAAACCATGATGGGTGTTGCCCTGAATCTAGAAACCCACCTGGGGGAGACCTGGAATGGAGACCTTTCTTCCCAGAGGTTACTGTGAAACACTGCTATTGCGCTTACTCTGATTTACTCAGGTGTTGTGTACCTATCCCTGTACAAACTCCTCCCCCCGCACCCCCCCCCCACTTTCTTGTTGGGATCTTGTGTTCCTACTTTAATTTGTTCCTAGGGATTCTTTCCAAAGGCACCCCCTGCTGTTTCCCCCTCCCCCTTCCCCAAAGAACACAGGCCAGGGCAGTAGGTGCCCCCACCCCACAGATGGGAGGTGAAAAGAGGGAGGCTGGAATTCTGGGCTCTGGTTGTTTGGGTGATGCTGCCCATAGTGTGCGTACACACTGTCTTCCCTCTGTCTGTCTAACTCTGTCTCTGCCTCTCTCTCTCTCTCCCACTCTCTCTCTCTCTCACACACACACCACTCACTTGCCAAACTCACACCCCAAGGCCACCCCTTAGCAGAGCCAGGCAGTACAAAGTCTACCGTTCCCTCCCTAGCCTACTGGGCTGGCAGACAGACCCAGGTCCCACCGGGTCAAAGGCCGGAGCAGAGGGAATGATGAGCATCCAGGGAAGCCATTAGGAACAGGCATGGGTGGAAAAATACCAGAGCCACCGTCACAAACCCCACCCTTCTCCCAAACTGACACCAGCAGAGCTGCCTGCCCTGCAAATCCAACAGCTGCCAGTGCTGGCCTAAATCCCCGGAAGTTCAGTCACCCCATGGCCCCCCTCAGGAACTGCTCACCCAATGGAGGTTCCTTGAGCTACCCTGGCACCACAGGCTTCCCCACAACAAATTGCTCCACCCTGGCGGGCCAGTCCCAACCAGAGAAGCCCCTGCCCAGGTAGGCATCATGGCTGGGGTGGGTGGAACAGGAACTCCAACAGCTGCCAGGCTGTTCTATCTTCTCCCTGCTTCAAAGCCAAGACTCTGCCCAGAGGCTCTGCCTGGCCCACATGTGATGGGCCATGAAGATCCTGAGACACTCCATACAGGACAAAGTTTCTGTGACCCCAGATGTCCGTCTTGAGTTGGGGGACAGTTGAGTCTCTCAAGAAGGAAGTGTTAGGTGCAGGATCCTGTCAGTTCCACCTCCTCGAAAACAGAGAGGTTTGTTCCAAAATGTCCAGAGTAGGCTTTTTCTTCCAGTATGTGTCACTGTGCTATGTGGGACTAAGGTCATTCAAGGCCAGGTGGGCCTCTGGAGGAGCTGTTCCCATAACTGTAAAGGACAAAGCTTACCGAGCTAGAAGTTCATCCAGAATTAACTTTTTTGTCAAAGAAACCTCTCATAAGGCAGGGCAAAGATACACCCACAGGCCGCAGGGTGGGGCAGTCCTGCTCTCCTTTACCCAAGAGACCCCTTCCCCTCCTCTTGAAGCCCCAGGCCCCTCTCCTGTTCCTTGGTACAGGATAGAAGCCCCTGGCTTGTTCCATTTACTTTTGAATTTACAGTTGTGTAAGTTCTCTTTAATGATCTGTATGTCATTAAATGTGTTTTTTTTTCTCCACTATCTGTCTGATGTGAATTTGTTTGCTCATTCAGCCCAAGAACACTCCAAAGGAGTGGGGAGATTTTCCTCTGCACCCTGGATACTCCTAATTCCAAGTACCCCTATTCAGGACTTCTATCACACCAAACCAGCTCTCTTCCAGGTTCTCAGCTCAGGGTCCCTTACATCATAGTCTTAAGACATCCTCCTCTACCCATCCTATCTGCACTTCAGCTTCTCCCTCTAAATATTTATATCCAAGGCCCTTTTCAGGGCAGCTGAATATCACTCCTGTGCTTAGAGATGGAGTGCTTGTTGGGCCAGTTACAAACCTGGCACTTAAAAGCTCTCTGACATCAGGTTGTTCACAGCATGGTCTCACTACCTCTGCCACACCAGACCGTTCATTCTCGGTGTCAACCTGCTCTTTCATGCCCTTCAGAGCTTCCCTTAAGGCCTTCACAAGGCCTTTTTTTTCCTTCTCCCTGCAGCAACCTCCTATCCACTGTTCAAGGTCCACCTCCACTGTCCCCGCTGCTAGGACAAAGCTTTGACCTCCCGTGCCCAGGCAGGGTGCATATTTCCCACTGCACATGCCCTCCACCCTACCCCTATCCAGTGCCACTGGCATGAGCTGCCCTTTCCTTGGTCAAAGACTGTCCAGAATCCAGGCCAGGCATGGAGAGGTGCAGGAAACCCGCGACAAGGGTGTACATGTAAACACACACACACACAACATGGGGCTCCCTGCCTCCCACCATCTTCCTCCTCACCTAGCTCCCCTGGTTTCTGTAGGTATATTCCCCAAGTCTGTAAGGGGAGGAAAAGTCTCAAAGGCAAACACCTTCTTCCTTCATCTTCAACCTCAACTCATTCATGCAAGTATTCACTAAGAATACACAATGTTCCAGGCATTGTGCTACATGTTAGAAAAACATTTCAAAACAAACATATAAAACAAGTGCAGCTTTTAGCCATGTCATTAAAGGAGGTAAGCAGGATACGGCAGTGGAGAACAAATGATCCCTTCATGTGAGGAATTTGGAAGGGCCTCACAGATAAGGCAACATGAGCAGAGACCTGAGTCGGTGAGATCTCTGTGTGGCTATCTGGTGTCATTGCCTTCCAGACAGGGAACAGGAAACACAAATGCTCTGAATGGGCTGGAGGGAGCAGGCATGTACCTGTCGTGTTTTAGGACCAGTGCAGAAGTGCTGGAGCAGTGTAAGTGAGGCGGTCAGTGCTAGTAGATAAGGTCAGAGGGATATGGAGATGAGAAGGTTGACCATGTTGACCTTATAAGCCACAGTAAGGACTTCGGCTTTTGCTCTGAGATCAGAAGCCAGAGGATTGGCATAACCTGAACTTTTATGTTTTAACCAGGAGACGGTAAGGGTCAAAGGTGGAGGTAGGCAAATCATTTCCTAGGCATGTCTGCATTCATTGTTAACTAACCCCTAACTAACCCACTTCCCTCTGTCTTCATAGCTCCAGTCTCTGTCTAGGTCCCCATATTTTCCTGCCTGTCTTCTTATTCTTTTCCCCACACAACAGCAAAGGGAGCATTTAAAAATGCAATTCTAGGCCCTCTTGGTGGCATAATGGGTTAAAGAGCAGCACTGTAAGCTGGCACGGCCTGCTTCAGTGAGGGTTCATTCCCCAGCCCCAGAGGTGAGCCACATGGCAGGGCAGACCTCTATGTCTCGCCCCCTGCTCCCCTCAGCAGTGTACTTCATCAATCTGCCTGTTCTGCTCCCTACTCTGTCTCTGGTGAAGCCTCTCACTACCCCTGTGCCTCTAGCCTGTACCCCAATTCTGTACGCATAAATAAATAAATATTTAAAAAGTGCAATTCTAACTGTATCACTCCTGCCTATTAAAACTTCCATGGCTCCCCTTAGCTGTCAAAGTCTAAACTCCAATCCCAGCCCACAAGGCCCAGTGAATACACTCCCTGCTGACCCTGCTGCGGCTTTGCTTCTTGTTCCAAGTCCAGTCACGCTGGTCATCACACTTGCCTGCAGACTCTTGCAGCCTTCCTTGAGCCTCCAAGGAGCTTAAATAAAAACTGAGTCCTTCTGCTTGTCTTCTTTGTGGCAAGCTTTATTGTCCTATTTTATTTATTTATTTGCATAGAAGAACTGGGGTGTAGGCCAGCGGGAGAGTAAGAAGGGTTCACCAGAGACAGACTGGGGAGCAGAACAGCTGGAGTTACTAAAATACACTGCTGAGGGGAGCCGTGGGCAAGACAGGCG